CTCAATCGTTTCCCTTCCTGCTTGCACTGCTCGCTGAACGTTATTCGCACTCCAGATCTAAGTCCTGATGTCTTTATTCTATGTATTTGAGTTTCTGGGGACCGTTTTCGGACCACTTGATCATCAAACATGGATTCGGAAAGCATCACGTCGTCAGATGTCTGGGGATCGAGGTTCGAGCTTGGAGGCGTCTGGGCGCTGTTCGGCTTGCCCTTTCTGTGTCCTCGGGAGGTTCCTCGTCGCCGCGGCTGGATCCACCTCGAGAGTCTGGCCAGAGCGCACCCCTGGCGGTGTGCATGGGACGATTTTTGACCAATCGGCCCAGGCGTCCCCTCGTCGGGAAATCCCCTCGACGGAAGATTTGTGCTCGCGTTCGGCCTCTGGGAGGCCCTGGGCGGCCGCCGAACGACAGCTCCGGATGAAACGTCTGTCCCTTGGTATCGCTCGGACGTGTGCACTTCTTCTCGGCGGGGATTATTAAGGAGCATCCTGGATCATCCTGCGTAAAAAAAACACGCACGAAACCGACAAACATTGAGAAAGCACAGGGAATGGACGTCCGAGCGATGGCAAGGTCCTTGGTAGAGGGTCCAGATCTCCAGGGGTCCACGTGAGCAAAGTCACGACGTCGGGGGTCCGGGAAGACCCGAGGTTCGCTCCGTGGGCGTCTCTGGCTGCCGCGGGGCGCCCTCGTGTCCATGGCTGGGTCCGTCCCGACGCGCCGGCCAGGACGCACCCCAGAAGAGGTCCGGGGGTGGATCTGTAGCCCGTGGTCCGGAGCAGCGGCAGGTTACCAGCCTCGAACGTATCCCTATCCCTAAGATTGACACGCCAAAAGGCGATGACAATCTTGGGGATTCGCCCTCAAAACAGAAGGAAATCCGTAAGATTGGCATCGTAATGAGGAGGTGCCCAGCATAGGGATAGGGAGATGCTCCAGGCTGGTAAGCAGGGGAGACGTGGCTCAGGGAGGGGAATCAAGGGAGGAACAATCACCCAGGCCCGACAATCGGCGTTCACGAAACGGCCGTGGGCGTTTACCAAGCAGCCCTGCCCTGTTTGTTGCCTTCTTTGGGTCCGTTTGCTAAGCGGCTTCGCGTGTCGGGATGCTTACGGGGGGCGGATTGTTGTTCTGTCCTCTACAGTCGGGGCGCTGAAGAAGGAACCCTTCTCGTTGGCGAGGGGCTCGGTGTTCTCGACTGTTTTGCAGTTTGCCTTGGATTTTCCATGGGGAATCGAAGTCTAACTTATGGGAAAAAGGGGCCTCGTTTCTTCTTTATGGGTTCCTCAGGCCAACGCCCCGACTTTTAGAGAAGCGTCGACCACGCCTCGCCGCTCGGGGCCCGGGTGCCCCCCTTGCCCGCCCGCGAGCGTGCGGCTTCACTGCTGGGGGCCCATCGCCGATGCGTCGACGATGCATGGCCGATTCCACGCTGAAGCTGCCCCTCCTCCTCCTCCTCCTCCTCGTCCTCATCCTCATCCTCATCCTCATCCTCCTTCCTCCTCCTCCTCCTCCTCCTCCTCCTCGTCCTCCTCCTCCTCCTCCTCCTCCTCCTCCTCCTCCTCCTCCTCCTCCTCCTCCTCCTCCCCCCCTCGTGCCACTCCTGAGCGCCCCACCACGTCCCCCTGTCGATCCCCCTTCTCGACTCTCGAACAGGAAAAGCTGCACGCGCCTTGACGGTCGCAGATCTGCGCAGATCTCTGGGGTGCGTGCTGGACCCTCCTCCCTGGCGCGCTTCGCGGTGCCGCCTGCGCCGACCAAGGAATCCGCGCAGAGTTCCGACAGTTTTTATCTAATCACGTTTGTGGTCTTCTCCTCTACAGTCGAGAAGCTGAAGAAGGGGTTCGTTGTTGCTTGAGTCCTTCCACCATGATTGCTCCTCCAGCGCTACTCGTGCACCCGGACGTTCTTGGGACCAAAAAGGGGTTCCGTGCCTTATTTAGCGCTCCTTGTTGCAGTAGCTCTACCGTATTCTCAGAGATGGGGCGCGCAGGAATTTCCACGAGCTCCGCGCGAATGTCAAGCGAAGCGCGCCAGGGGCGGCGCCGCCTGGAGGTCCAGCGCCGATGCGAGAAATCTGGGCGGACTTCCGACAGTGTATGCTCATGCAGGTGAGCGTTTTTTCCCAACCATCTTGTGGTGTTGGGTCCTCGTTTTGAAGAGACGGTGCCCCACGTCTCCTCTCTTTCCTTCCTTCCTTCCTCCCTCTGCCCCCTCCCTCGTCCCACTATCACAGCACACCCCTCACACGTTTCGTGGCCACATAGGGAGCTCCACCGAGGGCCCCAGTGGCTGCGTTGGCATGGCGGCACCGCGCCCATTTCGGCACACCCCTTACACGCTTCGTGGCCCCATAGGGAGCTCCACCGAGGGCCCCAGTGGCTGCGTTGGCATGGCGGCACCGCACCCATTTCGGCACACCCCTCACACGTTTCGTGGCCCCATAGGGAGCTCCACCGAGGGCCCCAGTGGCTGCGTTGGCATGGCGGCACCGCACCCATTTCGGCACACCCCTCACACGTTTCGTGGCCCCATAGGGAGCTCCACCGAGGGCCCCAGTGGCTGCGTTGGCATGGCGGCACCGCACCCATTTCGGCACACCCCTCACACGTTTCGTGGCCCCATAGGGAGCTCCACCGAAGGCCCCAGTGGCTGCGTTGGCATGGCGGCACCGCACCCATTTCGGCACACCCCTCACACGTTTCGTGGCCCCATAGGGAGCTCCACCGAGGCCCCAGTGGCTGCGTTGGCATGGCGGCACCGCACCATTTCGGCACACCCCTCACACGTTTCGTGGCCCCATAGGGAGCTCTGGCTGCACGGCACCGCGCCCATTTCGGCACCTCTCACACGCTTCGTGGCCCCATAGGGAGCTCCACCGAGAGCCCCAGTGGCTGCGTTGGCATGGCGGCACCGCACCCATGTCGTCACACCCCTCACACGTTTCGTGGCCCCATAGGGAGCTCCACCGAGGGCCCCAGTGGCTGCGCTGGCATGGCGGCACCGCACCCATTTCGGCACACCCCTCACACGTTTCGTGGCCCCATAGGGAGCTCCACCGAGGGCCCCAGTGGCTGCGTTGGCATGGCGGCACCGCACCCATTTCGGCACACCCCTCACACGTTTCGTGGCCCGTTAGGGAGCTCCACCGAGGGCCCCAGTGGCTGCGTTGGCATGGCGGCACCGCACCCATTTCGGCACACCCCTCACACGTTTCGTAGCCCCATAGGGAGCTTCACCGAGAGCCCCAGTGGCTGCGTTGGCATGGCGGCACCGCGCCCATTTCGGCACACCCCTCACACGTTTCGTCGCCGAGGGCCCAGGACAGCGCTTCGTGGCCCATAGGGAGCTCCACCGAAGGCCCCACTGCTACCGCCCGCATGCGTCCCGTACGCCCAGGACAGCGTTTCGTGGCTCCATAGAGAGCTCCACCAAAGGCCGAAGTGCTACCGCCCGCATGCGTCCCGTACGCCCAGGACAGCGTTTCGTGGCACGCATTTCGTGGCCCCATAGGGAGCCCCACCGAAAGCGGCACCCACAAAGCGTTACTCACAATTGCATATGGTTGGGTCCTTCGCCAGGATAATTATCAATTGTTTTGCCGATCGGCGCTTGCCCTCGCACCCCCCCTCCCCCGCCCTCCCCGTGGAGTAGGTCTTGGCTGTTTCTGGCGCCTGTTTCCAGCAGGCAGAGCCTCCTCCACTGGACGCACGGTTCCAGACATTCGCCATCAAGCAGAGGTCCCGAGCCAGAACGCCCCTCTCCCCCCCACCTTTCCGCCCAATTTCGAAACGCCGAATAAAAAACGCTCACCATGTCCCTATACAGGCGGAAAATTCAAGGGTAGACAGACAATAGTCTGGGAACGATCTTTAGAGCAATTGTGATGATTGTTGGAACGCCGCCCAGTGTCGAAACGCGGAACAAAACACGCTGAGTGGGCGCTTTGTGCTGTCCTCCCCCTCGGAGAGTGGGCTCCGGGCCCGAGCCAGAGATCTTCCGGGCGCGCGCCTCGCGCGCGCCAGGGAAAGGGGGGCTCCGGCGCCGCTCCAAGGCATCCCCGCGCGGAGCTCCGAGAGCTTACAGTCGAGCGGCTTGGGTAAGGAGCACCTGCTTTCCAAGAGGTGTCGGAGCAACAACACACACCCATACCCATGAGGGGGTCGGAAAGGGCTGTGGGTGCGTGTTGTCGGGTGGGGAGCCCCGCTCGAGCGGGAGCGTTCCCTAGGGTCCGACAGCCCGCGCCCGTACCCATAGCCAGTCCTCCTCCCAACGACCCCCTTATGGATATGGGTGTGTGTTGTTCGTTCGTCAAAAAGGGGCTCGGTCGTTCCTCAGGCTTGCATGCGTTGTTTATCGTTCCGTATGCGTTCTGTGTCAGTTATCGTTCCTTGTGCGTTCTTCCTTGGAAGAAGATGGGCCTTCTGATTTGTCGTTCCTTAGGTCAGGCCGATAACTGTATGCTGATGCATTCATTTGGTTCTATATGCTCAGGGTCTCCCGACAGCCAGCTCCAATGCTTTTGGGCGGGCTCGAGGCACCGATCGACGGGGAATCAGCTCTGGGAATCGATACATCACCCCCTGAGCCAGTCCCCCTTTCGTGGCCCCGAGAGTTCATGCTTGGTGATGCCGCTCCTCATCCCAGGCAGACGATGTCCTGCGTTTTGTGAAACGGGGTCCCCAGAGGTCCCGATTCCTTCCCCATGCAGGGCCAGTCTTTTGCCCCGGGTCGTCTTTCGACGACCCCTGGGCCCGGCCAGGGTCCCCAGAGGCCGAAACCCTGCAGCACCTCCGCCCGGCCTCTTTTCGTTGCCGTACGTGCGTCGGAGCTCGTGCGGGCCCGTGCGGCCTTGCTGTGCGCCCGTGGGCCCCCGCGGGCCTGCTCTCTGTGCGGGTGTCCGTCGTCGACGGTCGTTGCCCGCGGGCCCGCGGCGGCCTCCGAGGCGGCGCGCGCGCGCCGGGGCCCGGCGGAGGCGCCGCCAGCGGAGCCCCCGGAGCCGGACTTCGCGGGGCAGCTGGAGGCGCTGCTGCCCGCGCTGGCGGCGGCGGCGGCCGCGGCGGGGCTGGGCCCCGCGCTGCAGGCGCGGCTGCGGGGCACGGAGGCCATGCTGCGGGAGGACCCGAGGCTCGAGGAGCCAAGCGCCAGCCACCAGAATTCTCGCAGGCCTAGAGGTCGACGCCAACACCACAAGATCGGCGGCGTGCCTCCACCGAGGGAGGGCGATCCCGATATCGGTGATGGTGGTAGTATTCTGGCTTCCAGGGTGGCCGAAATATTGCCACCAACACCGAAATCTAGGATCATCTTCCCCCTATGGAGGCAATCCCCTGGGCTGGTGTTGGTGCCAATTTCCAGGCCTCCACCAGAAGCCGCCGCAAGCCGACCCGGGGAGGCCCCGGTGTGCCAGTCCAGCCCCAGCGGGGGGGGGGGCCCGGCAGCAGTGAGCAGAACACGCCGGGAGCCCGCACCCCAACCCGCATCCCGAAAGTCGGGTCTTCGGGTTGGGTTGGGGTGGTCTGGTGGGTTGAAGTCGGGCCTGTTCTTCCACAGGGGGAGTATTCAAACATAGTCAAAAATACTCTGGAGACATTTTTTGGGGGGAGATTTTGCACTATTTGTTTGGGGCCATTGTTGAATATTTTTTTAATTTGTCGCCCAGAATCCGCCAGTAGGGGGGCATGCCCGACCTAACGGCAGGCACTCGCTTCCGTGCCTTCCGGGCGGCAGATGCCGCGCAGCGGCCGCCGCCAGCGCGGCCGCGGTGGCGGCCGCCGTCGAGGCCGCTGCGGCGGTCTCGGCGGTCGCCGCGGCCGCGCCGCGGCGGCAGCTGCTGCGCGGAAGTTTCGGAAGGTGCAGGGCCGAAGCTTCGGAAGCTGCTGGTGGAAGGTGCGGAAGGTTCGGAAGGTTCGGAAGCTGCTGCGCGGAAGGTTCGGAAGGTTTGGAGCACCCCCCCCCCCTTGCCGGAAGGCTCGGAAGGTGGATGTCGAGGGACGCCAGGGTCTCCGACGGTGCGTTCTGTCTGCAACCGTGGCGTCTTTGCCCCGACTTTGGCCACGGCGGCCCGGCCTCGGGCCCCGCGGGGGCGGCCTCCTCTGCCACTCCACCGTCGAGCGCGCGAGGAGCCTCGACCGCCAAGCGTCTCGAGCCTCACGAGCGGCGAGTGTATGTCAGGAGGGGAAGAAACACACAGACACAATTAATCGGCGATTCCCCAGAACATATGGGAAACTATGGGAAGTGTGGGGGGGATTCCAGAAACCCAGAAAATATAAGAAAATATGGGGAATCATGTGATTTGTGTGTATTTACTTGTATGTCCCAGGGCCCCTTTAGTATCCACATCCGCACCCTCCGGCGGGCGGACAAAAAGTGTCCACACCCATCGCGCCAACAGAGTGCGACATCGAGCTGCGTCGAACAACTATGCATGGCCCCCTTCCCCCCCAACCCAAAGTTGACAGGGGTTGGATGCGAGGCAGCGCGCGGGGGACAGAATCTGGACGCTGCAACTTTGGGTTTGGGGGTGAGGGGGGGTGAGCCACATGGACATCGCAAGTGTCGTTGCCATCATGCCCGCTTGTCTTCACGCCGTCGGCGTGGGCACTTTTTGTCCGGGCACCGTCGCGGTCCGGGTCCTGGGGTCGCGATCCTGCGGGTACGCGGTCGCACGGCTGCGTTCCGAGGCGGGAATTTATCCGTATCCACCGCCTGGAGGGTCAGCTTTCGGAGCCTTGGCAGGCGGTGGATATGGACATATTCGGGCCCCCGGGGGCCGAGATATATCCATATCCACCGCCCGCTGGGGCACCAGGGCGTCGGTTCCCAGGCGGTGGATATGGTTAAATCCCCGCCTCGCATGCGTGCTGCGCGGGGCGCCCGCGGGGGAAAAAAACGCGCCCGCGAGCCTCGGCTCGCGGCGGCCAGGTGGTCGGCCCGCGAGGCCTGAGGCACGGCGAACGACGACCGGCATTCTTCTTATGTTCTGTTTCTGGGGGGCCGTCGCAAGTGATCGTGTTTTATTCGTTGTTTTGCCGATCGGCGCGGGCCTTCGCACCCCCCCCCTCCCCCTCCCATGGACTCGATCTTGGCTGTTTCTGGCGCCTGTTTCGAGCAGGGGGAGCCTCCCCCATAATGGACGCCCTGTTGCAAACAGACGCCATCAAGCAGAGGTACGGAGCCAGACCCACCCCCCCTCCCCCCACCTTTCCGCCCAGCCTCGAAACGCCGAAGTAAAAAACGCTCACCATGTCCCTCTACAAGTGGAAAATTCAAAAGTAAGCAAAAACATGTCTGGGAACGACTTTTAGAGAAATTGTGATGATTGGTGGAAAATGGTTTCGAGTATTAACTGCTCGTCCACGGTCCGCCTGTAGGGGGACATCCCACACCTAGGGATAACGACGACCGCCTTTCTTCCTGTGTTCTGCTTCTGGGGGGCCGTCGCAGGGCCCCATGGACCGTCACTGAGCGGGTGAGGATGAGAATCGAGTCCCGGGGAGTGCGTCGACACTTCCGGGGGCAGACACCATGACGTCGGTGGTCTGGGGGTCCAGGCCTCCCACACGAGGCCCGAGTTTGGATCACATGAATTTTCCGGACGCCCCGGCGGACTTCTCGCACCAGTCCAGGGCCAAGGGAGGACCCCAGAGGAGCAGCGAGCCCTTTTCCCCGAGCTTCACCAGTTCCTCGTTTCGGCGCCTCGGCCGTCGACAAGGAATGGCTACGAGCAGAAACTGCGCAGATTGGACGCTGGACACCCCCCCACCCACCGGCGGCGCCTCTGGCGCCTCCTTCTCTTCTTCCTCCTCCTCCTCCTCCTCCTCCTCCGCCTCCTCCTCCTAGAAACTTCTTCCTCCTCCTCCTCGTCCTCCTCCTACTCCTCCTTCTCTCTTCCTCCTCCTCCTCCTCGTCCTCCTCCTTGTCCTCCTCCTTCTCTATCCCTCCCTCCCCCTCCTCTCTCTCCCCTCCTCTCTGCGGCGACGAGAGACCCCCCGCTGGGGGGGGGGTCCCAGTGCCCATCCGAGCGATCCGCGCGAAGCTCCGAGAGTTCTGATGTTCAGCCTTGCCTGTCAGGACAGAATGTCGAGAACCAAGAGAAGTACCGAAACCGGAGGATGTTCACGCGTCGCGCCCTGAAGGGCGATATTCGTTCGACACTGTTTCGATACTCTTCTGGGTGATCGAAATTATGTTCGGGATGTGGTCCTTAATCGGAAGCTGGAGCATATACATTTCCAGTGGCGAGCGGTTTTTCAATCCCAGGGCTGTTGACGGTCGGGGACGCCGTCGGGGTGGTGTGGTGTATGCTTGTTTCCCCGCTTTCCTGGGGAAACACGGAAAACGTATACACCAGGATCCCGTATACACAAAGATCCGTTTTCCTGTGCAATTTCCCAGTGCGGTGCCGCAAAGTGCATCGGTGTATAGAGTTCGGTTCCCTAATTAGTTCTGGGATGCGGTCCTGAAGTAGGATGGGAACAACCTAATCCGAGAGAGGCGCGCCTACCCGTGCCTCGTGCCGCTGCGTGTCTGCTCCCAGAGGCTGCAGACCAGCGCGTTCTGTGCCGAGGAGCTGACCTGGAAGAGCGCGCGGTTCGAGCCCTGCACCGCGCTCGGCAGGCGCGCGGCAGGTAAAAATTACACCAGAGAAAAACTCGGTGGTGGAACCCTGACACGTCGATTAAGGACTTGGCCGTTTTCGGTTCGCGAGAGGGCGTCGCGGCCGTCATGTCTGCGGGTCCAGGTCCGTCGGTTTCGGTCCCAGGCCGTTTTCACTAAGGGGAGGTTTACTGAAGGGAGGCTTGTCCACCGCCGACAAAACCCATTCAGTGGATGAGGAGATCGGCCAGGAACCCGGGAGCCCGGGAACCCAGAACCCACCGAAACCTGTTCCGTAACCAGTAACCCGGGAACACGGGAAACTAGCTTGCTACCAAAATCGGCGGGACATTGTCGCCAAATCTTTCAACTTCGGCTAGGACCCCTTCAGTGCAAGCACTGATCGGGAAAAAGGGCCCCCTTGGCCTAATGGACAAGGCGTCGGACTTCTAATCCGAAGATTGCGGGCTCGAGTCCCGCAGGGGGTGCTGCTTGGGCTTGGACCGCGGACAGACAGGCGCCCGAAGCGCGTCCAAACGATCGGCGCCCACGCCACGGGCCAGCTGAGTTATGCCGCAGCCGAGGCCCACCGCGACAGGGGCGCTTGGCCCCTTTGTTCCAGCTGGAGTGCGGGCAGGAACAAAAATGGGGCAGTTTGCGCGGACATTCGCGCGCACAGTGGACTGGGGTGCCCAGGGTTTCGTGGGTTTTGCTTTTGCCACGGAAAGCGTGGTGCTCCCGCACCAAAAAGCAATGGATTTCCTGGGGTCTCAGGGTTGGGTTTCTTGTTGGAAGTTTCTTGCGGTCGAGCTCCTACTGTGAGCTGCCCGCGCAAGCACTCTTCTCCTCGCGGTGTGCTACGCTGGCGGCCCGCGCGACCGTCGGCGTAAGGTCGCTGTGTCTTCTCGCGCAACACCCCGAGACACGCGATGCCTTTCGACATGGTGTTTTTGTATTGTTTTGCCGATCGGCGCGGGCCCTCGCACCCCCCCATTCCCCCCCCTTTCGGGAGTAGATGTTTGCTGTGTTTGGGCGCCTGCTTCGAGCAGGTGGAGTCTCTCCCCTCATAGGACGCACTGCCGCAAACAGTCGCAGTAAGCAGAAGTCCGGAGCCAGACCCCGCCCCTACCCCGTCCCCCCCCCTTTCCGCCCAATGTCGAAACGCCGACTACAAACAACGATGACCTTTTTCGTTTCAATACGGGATCCCCAGACGTTTCTATTGTAGAGGCCTCCGGCCGGTGCCGCCGATCCGGGACGATCCTGCTGTCAGAAGGACGCTTTCACCCCAGCGCGCTTGTTCAACGTACGTGGTTTGCAAGCAGTTTGGAGGCATTGCGTGGGCTTCTCGAGGGGCCCCAAACGCCAAACGACGCATCTTCGAGGCCTCCTGGGGGGGCGCCTTGGAGGTGATTGTTGAGTTTCTACAGTAGGGGTCCTGAAGAAGGAACCCTTTTCGTTGGGGAGGGGCTCCGTGTTCCTTGATAGCTTCACAGCTTGCCTCGGGTTTTCCTTTGGTTTTCGATGAAAAATCGAAGTTCAACTTGTGGATAGAAGGGGCCTCGTTCCTTCTTTAGGGTTCCTTAGGTCAGGGGCCCGACTGTACAGGCCCACCAGGACATGTTCTTAGAGCCCAGACACGTCCTAGGCACAAAAAGCAATGTTCTCAGACAATCGGCCCGATGCGTGAAAGCAAGACAGTGCCTGCCAGAAGTGTTACGAGAACATGTCGTGCAAACCACCAAAGCTTCTGAAAAGATTTGTGTTGGTAGGCCTATAGACGAGCCAGGACGCATCGCCACTGCTTGAGATCAGCACATCCGCATCCGCGGCCTCGTCGGCCGGGCCTCTGGGCCGCCACCCCGCGGATGCAGGGCGTGTTTTCGCAGGCGCCCCGCGCGGAATGTATATCCGTGCGACCGCGCATCCGCGGGATCGCGCCCGGGAAGGCAGACCATCGCGGGCGCGGATACGAATTCGATCGCCGCTCATGACGTATGGCCCGCTTTTCGCCTGTAGGCCTCCCAGACTGGGTCGGAGTGGATGGGGTCGGAGGATCGCGCCGCATCGCCGATGCCTCGTCGACGTCGCCGATGCGTCACCCACGACGATGCATCGCCGAGGCATCGGCGATGCGGTGCGATCCTCCGACCCCATCTGCTCGGACCCCATCGAGGAGTCTCAGGAGGGAAAACAACTCACAGACACAATTAATCGTCGATTCCCACGAAAATATAGGAAAATATGGGAAGTGGGGGGGAAGACAAAAACCCAGAAAATATTGTAAAATATTGGGAATATTTTTATTCGTGTGTATTTATTTGTGTGTCCTGGGGCCCCTTCAGAGTCCTCCTTGTCGCCGTCGCTCAGGTGGCTCGCAGAGCTCGGCCAGGACGGCGGCCCGCCGGCTGGGGGCTGGGCCGGCGTCCTGCGGGAGCCCGGCGTCGCGGACGCGCTGCAGGCACGCCTGGACGGCCTGCACGACCCGCGGTGGGACCTGCACGCGGAGCTCGGCGCCGCCGAGGAGGACCGGGCGGGGCCAGGACGAAGTCGGGCCTGCCCCTCTACAGGGGGAATATTCAAAAATAGTAGAAAGCAGTCGGGGGACGATCTGTTTCGTATGTGTTTGCATTGCTGTGGCATGTTGGGGGTATGTTTTATTTCTCATCCGAAATCCGCCTGTAGGGGGACATGTCCGACCTGAGGCCAGGACCGGGACAAAGGTCACACGGAAGGGTTTCTCTATTCTTGGTTTCGGGGAGTATTTGGCAGGCCTCGGGGCCGTCAAAAACTCTATAGGATTAGAAAAGCCAGTCTTCTGACTTCTGCATGGGGGCCTCGGATTCACATAAATCAAGGCATCGGATTTCCCGGACCTGGCCTCGTCTTAAAGGAGGCCACGCGCATCATCGACGAGGCCCACGGCTGCTGGTGA